CAATTGCCCTTCCGTGCTCGATGGCCAATAAATGTGAGAGTATTTTGACAAACGTATTGTGAACTTTGTTACTAAAAGATTTTTAAAACATTTTAACTAAAATACTAGTGTTGAGTTGAACGTGGGTGACATTCGCATGTTGAGCATTAGTTTTCTTTTTCTTAAAAGAAGTAAAATTATAGTTCTCGTTCATGACACGGGCAGTATATTGCATGAGCATAATCATAAGAAACATATATATAGTGTTAAGATTATTTCTACTAGGCGTAAATGCTCAATCCATTTTATGGACTAGATATACAAAATTCTAGGTTTTGATGATGTGCCTCCACCCTCTTGACGAGCGAGCGAAGATCTAGATGGAGCACGAAAGCTCATTTTGATGTTTTCTTTGTTTACAACTATTGAGCTCTTACTTGTCTGGGATAGGATTTATAATTTTGTTGAAATCAAGACCTTAGTCTTGAAAGATGTATGCCCTTAGGGAACCTTGGATGTGCTTTCTTTTCCTTTTTATTTTACATGTATTGTAATCTAATGTATGTAATCTTATGAGGAATTTATTAGAAAAGATGTATTTATTTATAAAATTGTTGTATTTATTTTCCTTATTCACACTTATATTATGAAATTGGATAACAATAATGGATTGGTAATTATAAAATGAGTTATAAATATCGGTGCATTAAAGATGTGTTTTCTAAGTTTTTACTCTTTAAATCCTATGCTAAAATCAATTTGCCACTGCACTTGAGATCCTTAGAACTGATGGTGGTGGTGAATATGATAATAATAAATTTCATGATTTTATTTCCTCTAAAGGTGTACTTCACCAACTATCTTGTCCCTACACTCCACCCTAGAATGGAATAGCTGAAAGAAAACATTGCCATCTTGTTGAAACCACTATCACATTACTCCATCAATCTTCTCTTCCTATCCTAAATTGGTTTGATGCCTTTGCAACTGCAACTTTTCTTATCAATAGGACCCCTAGCTCCAAGCTTCAGTTCCTTGCTCCTTTTGAAAAACTTTTTCACCAACGTCCTGATTTTCAGTCCTTTAGAGTGTTTCCCAGTAGGTGTTTTCCATGGCTCAAACCCTATACATCTCATAAACTTCAGCCCCTATCCATCCCTTGTTTTTTTTCTTGGTTATCATCCTACTGTCAAGGGCTAAAGATCCCACAAGTGGTAAGATTTATATGTGGACATGTTTTTTATGAGAACCTCTTTCCTTTCTCTAGTACTATTTCTAACATCACTTATCACTCCTTCTTTACATCAACTTAGTTCCTTCTTTTGGTCTCCTCAATCTCCTTCTTTTAATTCCTCCTCGTCTAGTCTTCCTGTTTGTCACGCCCCGATATTTATACCACAATATGCTACCAACTCAATATCTAAACAATAAGCAAAGGTATACAATTCAATAACTGGAATCTATCACATTCTCATAAATTTTTTGTCAAGCTCAAAGTAATGAAATTACAATACATGATAGTATAAAAATATCTATCTAAATTGCCATAAGGGCTTACACCTTTCTAGACTAAGATCCTTCATTTAACAAATAAAATTCCTAACTCGACAAACAAGCTTAATGATTGTAGGCAAACAACATTAAAGAAGATTCGGCGCTCCGCATTAAATTCCATTCATTTTTCGACACTACATGGTACACATTCAACACTTGGATTTTTAGGATATCCAACCCATAAAAAAGGAGTAAGCTTTGACGCTCAGTAGGATATAAACTTAACAACAAATAAGTATGCTCAAAGTGATTATGTTCATGCAATGTCATGCCATGCATATAACTTGACTTTATTAGAAAAGCAATTTGTAAAACGCTAAATTCGTATTCCAAGTTTGACCCAATTTGTTAACCATTGATTTAACCATGAACCATCATTTTGTAACTAATTCTACGTTACTTGTCACAAACACTCGCCACATTTACTGGCCACCAAGCACAGTAGGGCAAGTGGGCAACTCTTACTTCTAGAAACCTCTACATTTACCAGCCACCAAACACGAAGAGGCAATTGGACACCCATTTCATTCTTAAAATATCTCCACATTTTCCGGCCACCGAGCACGGAGGGGCAATTGGACACCCATCAACCATTGTAACTTTTCCCCCATATTTACCAGCCTACAAGCACGGAAGGACAATTGGGCACCTTTATCAACATACCGTTAACATCCCCATATTTCCCGGCCTACAAGCATGGAAAGGCAATTGGGCACCTTTACCAACATACCGATAACATCCCCACATTTTCCAGCCTACAAGTACGGAAGGGCAATTGGGCACCTTTACCAACATACACAACACATTTCAAAATAACCCATTTTTAATTAACTCTACACACTTGCTCCCAAAACCATGAAGATACGATGCAATGCAATACAATTGGTTTGCCAACATCATAGTTTGCCTAAGGCTCAAATCATTACTATAAAAATAATTAACATGAAATATAAGCAATGCAATCTTAACAATTTCCATAATCATCTAATATAGCAACATCAATCCCAAATTCTCTATCGTTTCAACATCATGTGAATATCAACACAAAATGACTCCAATTCCACTTATAAACATTACTCAGGTAAGTTATCTCATTTCCATTAAACTCCCAAGCTAAGGTTCCAAAATGATTTAATTCACAACTTCTATCCCCACACTAATTTCATCAACTTATTAGGATTTACCCATTTCATAATCTCCATGTATTCCAATACCTTATTAATGTCAATATTAACATAAAACTATCAATTAGTTTCAAAAACCCCTTTTTACTCAACATTTTAAACCTGGGGTTTTAAAGAAAATTTGGGGTTTTCCTCTTTTCTTAGTCAAATCATCAATTATTATTTATCAATATGCCAAAACATTCAACACCCTTTAAAAATTTGAGTGAAAACCCCATTTGTACTTAAACAACTAGCCATTAATGTTTTCTAACCCATAATCAACTCAAAATCCCAAAATGTTACCAAAATCACTTTGAATCATAAATATTTAAGGCTAAGATAACTCCTTACCTCAAGATTGGAAGTTAAAGGTGAAGACCCAACTTGATACTCCAATGAAATCGCAAAACAATCGGTAGAAATCTTAATCTATGCTTGCTCTTCAACCTTCCTGAAAGATTTGGGGTGAATCTTGGGTAAAAAGAAGAGAAATCAAGAGTTTGGAAGTTAGGGTTTGGGGTTTGGATGATGGAAGGAGAAGAGAGGGAGAAAAACAAAGTTTTTGGGTGTTTGCTAGCGACCTGGTCGCTCGAGCGAAGGAAGGTTGGCTCGAGCATAGAAAATAAGCTCCCAGAATCTCTAAAAATCGTGCAGTTCGCTCGAGCGAGGAAAAGCTCGCTCAAGCAAGCGACGAGAATGCTTTCAGCACAGAAACTCAAAATTCAAACAGGCATAACTCTCTTGTTTGAACTCCGTTTTAGGTAGTTCTTGTGCCCAAATCGAAGCCCCGAAAACAAGCTTTCCAATGGTTCTAGTCTTACATCCAACTTCAAAGTGTGGAAAGAGAAAAGGGTAAAAGAGTGAACATTGGTCAAAAACAAAAACTCAAATTTGGAGCTTTTGATCTAATTTTGCCTAAATACCTTGTTAAGGCTTCAATCAATGTTCCAAACATCACCCAAGGGTCCTCAATTATAATATTTAAGGTTCAGTTTGCCAACCCATCAATACCAAGAGTCCAACAACCATACAAGTTTTAAGGTGACGGGCACCACTTTACACTAATCCGATACGTATTAAAATCCGAGTCATTACACTGTTTCTCCTTTTTCTGGTTCTCATTCTTTGTTCTCTAGTTTTCATTCTTCATCTTCTATAGTCAGTTCTCCACCAGTTCTTCCTCAGCAACCCAACTCGTCCTTTATTGACAATCCTACTTCTTCAGTGCAACATCATACTCTCTCCAGCTTCTCCAAGTCAAAACATTCATCCTATGGTCACTAGGGCTAAAGTCGACATTTCTAAACCTAAACACCCTCTGTGTCTTTCTGCTTCTGTTCCCACCTCCATCTCTACTCCATCTCCATCTTCGTCTGTCGTTGTTCCAACTGAGCCTTATCAGGAAGCTCTTAAGTCCACTACGTACCAAACATTGCAAAAACATAGAACCTGGTCCCTTGTCCCTTTACCACCCGGAACCTGGTCCCATGTCCCTTTACCACCCGGCAAGTCTCCTATTGGCTACAAGTGCATTTTTAAACTTGAGAGAAATTCAGATGGGTCCATTCCGTTCTATATATGTAATGGAAGATTTTCATTACATATCTAATAATTATAAAATAAGAATGTAAATTTATAATTAATTTAAATTAAAAAAAAATCATTACACTCATCGTTGGATGATGGAATGGAACATCTCCATTACAAATATAGAATGGAGAGGATCACAATCCCTCTAGGCGAATCAAACGCTTCATGAAATTCAAAATTTGAGGATTTGTGACTTGCACTTCTTGAGATTGCAGAGATGCGCAAACAAGTTGGGAAGGGGAGAATTATCTCAAAGAGAATAAGGAAAATAAGAACTGCAACATTTGAAGGGAGGGCATGCATGCATGCATGCAACACGTGTGTTTTGCTCCTAATTTACCAACCCAAAAAACATAAAACCGAAAAAGAAACAAAAGTAAACTTTACCCAGAAAAAAGATCTCTAATTTGATTTGAGGTTTTCTTGTCCTTGTACTATTATGTCACAGGTGTGATCTCAGTGACATTGTGAAGGAAGGAAAAAGACCAGGTGGTGGTGACCAGAGATCAAGCTGACACAGCTGGCTTGACTTAGCTCATCGAGGAAGAAGATTGGGTTCGCGAGCCTGGGAGGTGCCGAAGAAGTCAAGGAAAAAGTTGGGAATAAAAATGACTCCATTCATGGCAAGCAATGACCTATTCAAGTGGTTTATGATCCAAATGACCATTTTAAGCAACACTTGACAAGAACACTGCCTAAAAAACTACTACGTGACAAGCTACAAGCAATAGTCTCTTATTTGAAATCATATTTTGGATAGTTATTAGATCCATCACCAGCCAGCCAATCACTGAACCTACCCTTTGTCAACATTTTTCTTACATTGATGCCATATTATTACAAAACAGACAAGTTTCACTCGTTTTAGAAGTTGAAAGAATTTACAAGGAGAAAGGGTGTTGGGAGGAAGAGTAATTAGATGAGACCTGGGTCCCAAGTGAGTTGATCAATGCTCATCTGTCTCAAAGACCTAACCAAATGCACATTAGAATCATGAGCCTGAATCATTACACCTCGCATATTCTGAAAACCGGACATACTGAATCCATCTGATACTCTATCATGCAGTAACGGGTCTTCTGAAAAACTGGCAAGTGCTTCGGCAGCATTATCTCTCACCTCCTCTGACTCGTCGTCCAACGTGTCAAGGAGAAGTGGAATTGCCCCTGCATCAGCAAGGGCAACTCGATCAGCCCCATGGTAACTCAACTGCGAAACAGCCCCAGAAACCTTCTCTCTAATATCAACACTGCCATGTCTCAAAAGCTCGACCAGAACAGGAATCGCACCAGAGTTCCGAACAACAAATGATGCATGCTTGTAACCCAAGAGATCCCAAAGAACATCAGCAGCCGCGGCTTTGGCTCCGTCATCGCCCCCTTTAAGGACTCTCACCAAGTGTTCAGCGATTGTAACAGCATTTGCTTCGGCAACAGCTAAAATGCAAAACACGTCCTGCGCTATCTCCTTACCCATTGGTTCAGGTCCCTGAATAAGCTCGACATATAAAGGAATTGCCCCGGCTTGAGCAACTGGCCGAATATAATCGACGTGAGATGAGATTACACCAAGCGCATTACCTGCTACTAGTTTTGTTGATAAATCTCCAACCCGAAGCAATTCGATAAGCACAGGTATAGAACCTGAATCGATAAGCATACGCCTTGCTCTTCTAACCAACCCGAGTAATCCAATCGCTTGAGCAGCTCTTGTTCTAGAGATCATGCTGCCAAACCTAGCAGACTCAACAAGAAAAGGTAGACCTCCCAAACTGATGATGACCCTCCTAACTTCTCTCAACAGAGCCAATGCGCTAAAAATTTCTAACAAGAACCGCCTCAAACCATCTGAGGAGGCACTAAACATATTCAGTACAACTTCTAGCCCACCATTTTCAACCACAATTATGCAATTAGCATCTGCAAATGTAACCATATTGCGAAGGCATTTTAACAGAACTTTCTGTAAACGACCCTCAGAATGTGGTAACAACTTCAAGAGAGAAGGAATGGCACCAGATTGGCCTACGACTACAGCCAATTTACCCTCTCCTTGACAAGTAATGCATTTTAAGCAGAATGCGACAGCTTCCTGGATCGACAGACTCGAGGAGCCACTAAAAGGACTTCCAAGAAGTTTCACAAGTATTGGTATGGAGCCTGCTAATATACTCTCAGGTGCATGGTTGGCAAGATGAGCAAGCTTGATTGCAGCTCTTACTTGCAAAATCTCATTTCCACAGGCAATCACATTCTCAAAACGATGAAATGCTTGCTCCCAATCAGTGCCTATCACTTGTTGGCTTCTCTCTAGCTCTGACCGATCCATAAAGAAAATTCAAGCCTGGTAATTATCAACACCTCCAACTCAATCTTTGGAACTTAAGATAAAAACCATCAATTTCTACAACTTCAGAAATACCACACAGAAAGTAACATAATATGCAGTCTTTATAATAACTTGGGGATATATATCAACAGCTAAAAGAACAAGATTGATATAAAGGCCAAATAAATCACTGTAATGTGCAATTCAATAGAATAAACTTGACTTTAAACATTGACTACCCAAGAAATTCCTGCACATCACAGTAAGGACTCTGCCCGTGATTATGTTCATAAAACATAATACATAAAAGCAAACTTTCAGTAAGTCCAGCATTTCTTTGTGACAAATTTTTCCACAGCTAGACATTTTTTTGGGGAAAATCTGAATCCCTGATTCTATAATTAACAATTTGACCAAATTAATTTTGTGTCAAAAGTATAATTGACCAGAATAAGAAAAAGCCCCAATTCCTGACTCTATAAAATACCCACATAGAACAGGTCAGCATTTTCAAGCAAATAGCAATAGTAAGTGCCCTATCATCATAAATTCACTTTTACAAGACAAATCCTATCGAAGCAACCATGTAAATCCCACATTTTCTAATTCTAAAAAATTGATGAATTCTTGATTCTCAAAACCACATATCCAGAAAACCAAGGATTGTTTTTCTTCTTCTGAATCCTTTTGTACTTCGAAACCCTGTAAACCAAACAACAAAATGCACATCACAGCGTAAAAGACCAGTTTTTTATTTACTATACTGACGGGAAATCGAAAAAATCAACCCAAAAAAAAATTGAAAAAGTAAACACATTTCTTACACTTTATTCAAGAGGTGTCAACATAAACAACATTCAAGTTAACAACCAGAGAACCAAATGAAGAACAGTTAGAATCATCAAAATTACTTTACATAGCTAATTTTGCTTTGGTGTAATTTGAACTTGATCTTTAACTCATAAATCCCAGAAACAATACCAACCCAGTTGATGAAACAGTGTTTCCTAAAAAGGGTTACCTCAAATTTCATAAAAAAATTTATAGCAGGATTCAAAATTTTGAGCTGAGACTGAATTTCCTGCTAATATTCGAATTGAATTGCAATCTAAACCAGAAAAGCCATCAAGCGATCAGATTATCAGAAAGATTATATGAAAACATCAACAACGAATTAAAGAATTTCATGAATTTGTAAAACCACTATAGAGATACACAAATACAGAGAGAGAGAGAGAGAGAGAGAGAGAGAGAGACTCGCCTTGCTTCGTAAAGATTTTGCCATTGAAAGCATCTCGCACCGACTCAAAGCATCTCGCCTTGCTTCGTAAAGACTCGGTAGTGTAGTTTGGAAGTGGGTTGTTTTTTTTTTTTTAAATTTTTAAGCTTCGTTAAAAAGTTTAGTTTGGGAAGTGTTTTTTAGTTTTTTAATTTTTTTATTTTTTTTAGAGAAGAGTGTAATGATTATGGGTTGGATGTAATGTTTTGTTTGTTGTTGTTAAAATAACATATTTTGTCTTTTGTAGCTAAAATAGTCACAAACCATCTTCTCAAACCTAGCCTTCGTTTGGAAAGTATACGGTGTTTTGAAAAGTTGGTAAAAAGTTTATTTTTGACTTTTTTAGCTAAAAAAGTTAGTTTTTTTTGTAGTGACTTGGATAAAAAAGTTAATTTTTTTTGCTAAAAAAGCTAAAAGCTAAGGATGCGTTTGGTAACGTTTACGTTTTCAGTTTATATTTACAAAAATTTTATAAATTGGTTTTTGTTTATTTTTAGAAAAATATAAACTATAAACGCGTTTGGTAATTGACAAAATGTTTTAAAAAATTTAAAAATATAAAAAAAGTGAGAAATGGCAAGTTACGGCCGAAGACGGTGGTGGAAAGTGGTGACGGTGGGTAGTGGGTAGCTGGTGGTAGTGGGTGGTGGCGAGTGGGTGGTGGTAGTGGTGGTAGGTGGGTGGGTGACGGTGACAGGTGGTAGGTGGTAGCGAGTGGGTGGTGGTGGCGGCGAGTGGGTGACAAGTGGCTGGGGGTGGCAGGGGGGGGGTGGGGGGGGCAGGGGGGGGGGGGGGGGGGGGGGGGTGGACGAAAAATACTAAGTGCTTAACCTTGCTCTGATACCATGTAGAAATTTAATGTATAAAGAGAAATAGAGAATTGTATTATTGATTGATTTATATTGATATCTATTACAATGATTCATGATTCCTATATATAGAAGAGGGTGAGTGTGTAGTAGGTAAGGAGTAGGTGCAAAGATATTATAATGACAAAATAAGAAAAAGCCCCAATTCCTGACTCTATAAAATACCCACCATAGAACAGGTCAGCATTTTCAAGCAAATAGCAATAGTAAGTGCCCTATCATCATAAATTCACTTTTACAAGACAAATCCTATCGAAGCAACCATGTAAATCCCAACATTTTCTAATTCTAAAAATTGATGAATTCTTGATTCTCAAACCACATATCCAGAAAACCAAGGATTTTTTTCTTCTTCTGAATCCTTTTGTACTTCGAAACCCTGTAAACCAAACAACAAAATGCACATCACAGCGTAAAAGACCAGTTTTTTATTTACTATACTGACGGGAAATCGAAAAAATCAACCCAAAAAAAAATTGAAAAAGTAAACACATTTCTTACACTTTATTCAAGAGGTGTCAACATAAACAACATTCAAGTTAACAACCAGAGAACCAAATGAAGAACAGTTAGAATCATCAAATTACTTACATAGCTAATTTTGCTTTGGTGTAATTTGAACTTGATCTTTAACTCATAAAATCCCAGAAACAATACCAACCCATTGATGAAACAGTGTTCTAAAAAGGGTTACCTCAAATTTCATAAAAAAATTTATAGCAGGATTCAAAATTTTGAGCTGAGACTGAATTTCCTGCTAATATTCGAATTGAATTGCAATCTAAACCAGAAAGCCATCAAGCGATCAGATTATCAGAAAGATTATATGAAAACATCAACAACGAATTAAAGAATTTCAGAATTGTAAAACCACTATAGAGATACACCAAATACAGAGAGAGAAGAGAGAGAAGAGAGAGAGAGACTCGCCTTGCTTCGTAAAGATTTTGCCATTGAAAGCATCTCGCACCGACTCAAGCATCTCGCCTTGCTTCGTAAAGACTCGGTAGTGTAGTTTGGAAGTGGGTTGTTTTTTTTTTTTAAATTTTTAAGCTTCTGTAAAAAGTTTAGTTTGGAAGTTTTTTTTAGTTTTTTAATTTTTTTATTTTTTTTAGAGAAGAGTGTAATGATTATGGGTTGGATGTAATGTTTTTGTTGTTGTTGTTAAATAACATATTTGCTTTTGAGCTTAAAATAGTCACAAACCATCTCTTCAAACCTAGCTTCGTTTGGAAAGTATACGTGTTTTTGAAAAGTTGGTAAAAAGTTTATTTTTGAATTTTTTAGCTAAAAAGTTAGTTTTTTTTTTTAGTGACTTGGATAAAAAAGTTAATTTTTTTGCTAAAAAAAGCTAAAAGCTAAAAGATGTGTTTGGTAACATTTACGTTTTCAGTTTATATTTATAAAAATTTATAAAATTGATTTTTGTTTATTTTTAGAAAAATATAAAACATAAACGCGTTTGATAATTGACAAAATGTTTAAAAAATTTAAAAATATAAAAAAAAAAGTGAGAAATGGCAAGTTACGGCCGAAGACGGTGGTGGAATGCTGGTGACGGGGTATGGGTAGCTGTGGGTGGTGGGGGTGGCGAGTGGGTGTGGTAGTGGTGGTAGGTGGGTGGGGTGTAGGGGTGGGGTGGTTGGTGGGTGGTTGTGGCGGGTGGTGGTGGCAAGTGAGTGACGAGTGGTAGTGGTGGTGGAGGGTAGGCGATAGGTGGTGATGGTGGGTGGGTGGGTGACAGTGGCGAGTGGTGGGTGTAGCGAGTGGGGTGGTGGTGGCTGGTGGTAGGTGTGTGGCGAATGGCGGGTAATGGTGGGTGGTGGTGGTGGGATGGATGGTGTGGGGACGGTAGCGGCTGGTAGCAAGTGGGTGTGGTGGTGGCGGCGTGAGTGGCGATGGTGATGGTGGATGCGTGGGTGGGTACGATGGCGTCGGGTGGTGCATCGGGCTGGTAGCGGAATGGTAATGTGTGGTCATATGGTCGGTGGTGGAGCGGCCGTGTAGGTCGGCAAGGGCATGTGCCAGGGCCCCGATCGGTGCGGATAGCGAGTGTGGTATCGTGGTGGTGGCTGTGGTCCGGCAAAAGTTGGTGGAGGTGGGTGAGTGTGGTGGTCAAGTAGTGTGCGAGTGTACCCTATAGTGACCGATGTGTGGATGTCAGGGCGGGTGGGATTGCAGTGGGTGGGTAAGACTGGTGCGGCGAGGGTAGCGTGCAGCGGGGCTGGCAGATGTGCGTGTAGCTGTGCTGCCAGGCCACACGCAGGCCATTGGACGTGAGTGTCGTGGCAGGTGATGGTGGGGGGTTGAAGTGTGTGCGGTTCGCGTTAGGCCGGAAGCCGGTGATGGAAGAATCGGTGGCGTCGGCTGGTGGCTAGTGATTGGGTCGTAAA